TTTTTTTTTTTTTTTTTTGTGCCAGAACTCTTACAGTGTTTTCAGTTTTGGACTTGGAAAGTAGTTGCTGACTTTTTAAAAAAAAACCTTCTGATTGTGCTGGTGTCTTTGCCTGGTGGCCATAGCAGAGCCCACAGATGTGTCTGGTTTAGGCAGGTGGCTTGCAGAAGAGTGTCTTGTGATGATGCTGGGGTCCAACCCCAGCTGGTAACTGAGCAGTGGGCAGCTGCTCACTCCTCCCTGCTCCCAGTGGGGTGGAGTGGAGAGCTGGGGAAAAAAGGGAAGGAAACTAAAATAATAATAAAACATATAATAATAATTATAATGGAAAGGAATATAAGAAAAAGAGAGAAATAAAACCCAAGAAAAGACAAGTGGTGCACAGTAAATTTGCTCACCACTTGCTGACCAATGACCAGGCAACAGTTTGCCCCCCGCCTTGCCACCTCCCCCCAGTTTATGCACTGAGCATGATGGACTATGTAAGGAATATCCCTTTGGCTAGTTGGGGTCAGCTGTCCTGGCCACGGTCCCTCCCAGCTTCTTGTGCTCCTGCTCAATGGAAGAGATTTAGAGAAAACTCCTGAACTTAGGATAAGCAACAACTGAAACATTGGTGTGTTGTCACCATTATTCTCACACTAAATCCTATAGGCAGTAGTGCCCCAGCTACTGGGAAGAAAATGAACTCTAGCCCAGCCAAAACCAGGACAGATTATCAGAAAACAGAAAAGGATTGTTTTTAACAGTAAAGCATTTTTAGATCTTTAGTTGGTGTTGCTTCATTATAGAACCATAGAAAGTTTTGGGTTGGAAAAGACCTTTAAAGGTCATCTAGTCCAACCCCTCCCCCACAGTGGGCAGGGACATCTTTAACTAGACCAGGTTGTCCAGAGCTCCATCCAACCTGACTTTGAATGTTTCCAGGAGTGGTGCATCTACCACCTCTCTGGGCAACATGTTCCAGTGTTCCTATTGCTCTTGCTTCATCCATCCCCAAAGAAATCTGTGATCACGTAATAAAATCCCAGCCACAGGTCTCCTCCTTGCCATAAGTGTGCCTTTCAAATTTCAAATTACTTCTTAAATAGTATAAAACCTACAGATTAGGATTGTTTTTTCAGCCTAAAGCCCAATGTATACATTTTATTTAGACAAATGTGATGGAAGTGTTATTTAAAAGAGAAATTTAATATATATACTCTAAATCATATCGATCCCAGTGACTTCCCTGCATATCTGTCCCCATTTATGTTAGGCCTCCAACCCCCTCCCCCCACCCCTTTCATATCTTCATCCTCACATGCTCAGAACCCATCTGAGCACAGTCCTGGGCAGCTGGCTCTGGGTGGCCCTCTTTGAACAAGGTGACCTCTGAGCTGCTTTCCAGCCTCAGCCACGCTGTGATTCTGTGAATGTTAACCAAGTCAAAAAGCAAATGGAAGTTTCAAGGCTTTTGATGGCCCATGTGGCTAGTAGCTTTACTCCTTGTTCTTTTGGGGATTTCTTGTAGCCTTAATAAGAAAGGAAGAAGAGCTGAGAGAGTGGGGAAGACCTATGGATGTAATTGTCTTCAAATAATAAAAATAAATTTAATGTGTTGCTTCTTAGTATTTTCCTAATGTTTTAGCAAAGAATAATAACATTAAAAAGGAACTTAGAGACATTAAGGGATTGTGCAGTTAGCTCTTCTCAGTTCCCCCACCAACTTGTTACGTGCGGGCAAGACCTTCATTGGGGCAGAAACAGTCACGAAACAAAATAAAGTCTTACATCTGGATCTGTAAATGAGCTTCACGTTTATTAATCACTCATGTTTCCTTCATTCCAAAAGCTTCAAAGTAGGATGCCATAACCAATTCAGATGAACATTCATTAAGTACAATGAAAATCAGTTCATGTGTCTTGCTAGATGCTTCCAAGAACATCTGTGAGGCAGTGAGGATATCTGCCATCCCTTTGCTGTGCCAGTGCTGGACTCTGATCTCCTAGGAGTTTAACTCTTGAAATGCAGAACTTTTGTTCTTCCTTAATCTTCTGCTGGAGAACTTTTCACAAAGTCAGAGTATGGCACACACACAACCAACATAAGGGCTGTTTTCTTTCTGTTTGAGCACCGTGTTTTCAGTCTTCCAATGGCATATTGAGACACAGTTTGGTTTATTGCAGAGACAGCACTTGAGATGTTGTTTGTCTCATTTAGTATAATTTGGTTCCTTTTTTTTTCTAGAGAAGCCAACAGCGGGGGAAAAAGTGCCATAAGGATACGAGCTCACGTAGTCACAGTGTGTAGTGAAACAGTCTGTGTCTTCTCACACAGTCCACGCTTCTTGAGAGTGAGTTAGTGCCCATGAACTTTGCCTTTCCAGCATAATGGGTGCCCATTAGTGTAAGAGATGAAAGCTGGCAAAGAGTAAATGGCTTTTGATTACTTGGAAGTTTCTGCAGGCACACAATAAAGCCAAGTTCCTTTTGCAAAATTTAACTAGATTGAGCGAAGTCACCGAGATGGATCAGAGCACAGGCACTATTTCTGGTGGTCTTCTTGAGCACTTCATGTGTGGTTGGTTGTCCTGGGCTGTGCAGTGGGTTTTACTTTAAGTGATTTAGCATCTGCTGGTCTTACAGGTGTCTTATGTGTTCATGTTTTGCACTCTTGACTGAGGTTGTATTTAGAAATTTGGGGGTTACTTGCACAAAATTATTCCGATCTGACATACTTTGGAAGCTCAGTACAGACCATTACAAACAGCTCCACTGGACGCTGCCGGCTTTGGGAATCCTCATCCAGGAATGAGTGCAGGGATTGTTTGTTCAGACGTGCCAAAAATTAAGGGTGTGGGCTTTTGTTTTGTTTTGTTTTCTGTACAGAGCTATTTGCTATTACAAGGAATGTATTCCTACCAGCATAATTATTTAGTCAAATATATTGTGAAATGATTGTGCTGATTTTTTTTTTTTTCAGGATTAGTTGATGGAACAGGCTTAACACAAGCCATTTGGCTTTTGGATAGGTAGTCATTTTTGGAATTCAGAGGTCCAAAACCATTTCAGATGTATGTTACTGAGTAGCTTAACTGAAATAGCTGAAGCAATTCCACTTTGCACCAGCTCAGGTAAAAACTTGGCTCAACCAGCCAAGAACAGGATTTTTTTTTTTCCTTGTGTTTCTCTTCAGTATGTTTTAGATGCCTTCATTGAAGGTTTTAAATGTTATGTATTGTCTTCATAAATGAGTTCACGCTAGGTTAAAGCATAATTTTACTTCAATCTCCGTACATCAAACGAGAAAGATTTCCCCTTCTCCATGTGCCCTAGTGGACATATAATTTCAATGTTAGAGCAAACTGTGCAGCTTTATATTCTGAGAATTTTGCTCCCTTATCAATAAGGTTAAACTTGTAGCAGGTTTTCGTGCACACCCACCCATGTAGCAGCTTCTTCTCCCTGTCCATTTCACGGGAGGTTTTAGGTGGCAGGAGACGCCAGCGCTGGCGCTTGGTCTGGCTCTGCTGTGGGGAAAGTGTCACAGGCACTGACAGGAGGAGGCAGGAGTGACTTCAGCTGGATACACTGAAGAACATCTGCCAGAGTCCTATGATTTTTATGTTAATTAGGTTTCAAAGTCAAAGTATGGAGGAGTGTGGAAACACCAAATTTTATTGTTCCACAGCCCTGACCCTTGTTCCTGTGCATTCTGAGGCACTCAGGTGTTGCCGTGTCGTGGCAGATCCCTGACTCGGTCCTTGCAAAGGAGGAAGCCACATGGGAAGAGGGCTGAAGTTGCACAGGTGGTGGCAACTTGGTGTTTCATGCATCTGAGCAGAAAAAAACTTTCCAGGCTTACAGTAGCATTATCAGCTGTAAATGTATATATTTCTATCTCAAAACTAATCTAAATTAAAAGGGTGGTGCAAAAATTGCTTATATTCGTACAGTTCGGCATGAAGTTTGGCATAAACCATGTCCTTCCTCCCTTTGTTTCCTCAGCCTTATGCCAGCATAGAGTTAGTATAATCAGGAATTAACTAATGCAGGGAACTGATTAAAGTTAAGGCTGATCTGGCAGGAAAAAAGGTTTATTGTACCCCAGGTTAGTGTGCTAGCCTGAGGTTGGTTCAGGGCTGGCAGAGCAGGCACACAAGAGGAGTTGTGAGGAGAATGGGAGTGCCTAAAGCTGCAGCCTCCCATGGTTGTCATTCAGCAACACTCCCCCTGCCCCGTTCCTCCTTCCTGGACATTTGTGGCTCAGGATGGTAGGCTGTTTTATAGAAATAACTTCATAAACATTCGATTTCTTGTTTTAGCTAGATGTGAAGAGTACTGTTTTCCTACTCTGAATTTTGTTGTGTCTGAGAACATTGTTACTTGGGCTAACCTAAAAAAAAAAGTCCATAAATAAAATGGACGTTTGTAGCACAAGGAAAGGTTACAGATGTTTTTATAGTCTAAATAAAATAAATAAATAAATATTACTCTTTTGTTTGAAACAGAAGTCAAGGAGCAGTCTGCAGAGGAGGATGCCCAGGCGGAAGTGGACAGCACGAAGCAGCTAACACCAGTCCTCCAGCACTCAGCATCCGAGGAGTCTGCAAGCTCCACGGCCTCCGTGGGGGTGGAAGCTAAAACCAGGTGAGTGGGTGCTGAGTCCAGGGCAGGGCTGGGGTCGGGTGGTGGGGCACAGAGCACTCAGGGGCAGCCCTGGGACACGCTGCTGGTGCTTTGGGGTGCTGGCAGCAGCAGCCTGTCTGTGCTTGAGGCTGGTGGCTTAGCTGCTGTATAGGGAGACCGAGGTGAAAAGCACATTCCTTGAGTGTTGTCCTCGCACTGCACTGATAAACCCTTGAATATAGCATATTAGCTGTTTAAATTAAAACAGAGATAAGTGATATGAGATAAAATGTGATTGCTGAAGCTTTCCTACAGACTAAATGTTGCCATATAAAGTTATTTCTTGAAGGTTCAGCATGTATGTCTATGTTTTCAGGAACAAAGTAAAAGTCTTTGTCATTACGTTCTTCTTTATTTCAGAACTGATAATACAGAAAATGTTTGTATTTTTTCACTTTTTATCAATATGAATTACTCAAAAAGCAGTGAAAGTCTTAATTACATCATTTGAGGGAAACCAGAACACACTGTCTGTCATCACTGTTGAAACAGTGTCACAGAATTTTAGCAGAGCTTCTCTGCTGAAGCCCTGATAACAGCTTTTAAGCCAGTAGTGGGTCTCTTCTGCTGCAGACATTACTGTTACCAGTTACCAGACAGTTACACTTGTAATTATATTCTGACAGATTCAGAGAGAATTGTCGTCATCGTTTTACTTCCTTCTAATCCAACACAGAGTATATTTTCCATGCACAAAAAATTACTTAATCTACTTGCTGCATACATAATTTTCATGTTTTACATGCTCACAAACTTCTTAGGTTCCAAGAGGTACTTGGCCTCTTACAGAGAATTTTGATTAAATAGATCTTGTGTGTATACCTGAATGAAATATGCAGAAATTTCTGTTCTTTGTGGAATTTTCTAAAGCTGATATTAAATTGCAGTAAATATGTAAAGCAACCTGAGCTGAACAGCTGGTTTAGTTTTTTTTTTATTTGACCCTGGTTTGGATCATTTGCAGAAATTTTAGTGCTGCTTCATCTGCTTTCTGTTCTTCTTGAGGTTATTTTCTTGTTTTTTAAAAGCTGAGTAACAGTCTTCTAAAAACAAAACAAAACAAGCAAAAAAAAACCCAAACTCAACAACCAGAACTCAAGAAAACAACCTTCTGCATGGTTCTGAACCAGCCCTTATTTGCCCGTAACTTACCTTTAATTTCATCTGAAAGTTTTGATTTTTATTAGTCAGGATTGAAAGGCTATTATGGGCCCATTGTTTTTGCTGATCAAAGCATTAACAAGCTAAGTACTATTAATTTTTAATTAAAATAGCAATGATCAGACTCTGACATCTTGCAAAGAAATGTTTTAAGGAGATGTGAAGCGGTTAATTGGGAGTCGTAGGTTTGTTCCTCTGACCCCAGGTAATTTTGGTTTCATACATAGATGGTGTTAGTTGCAGAACTCATTGATGTCCTCATAACAATGGGGAACAAAATCTAGATGTCGGGGTTTTTTTCGCATTGTGTCTTAAGACCTAGCAGAAGAAAGCCTCTTCTGATCTGTGGCTTCTTGATCAATCACCTGTATCATTATCTGTGGTGTGCTGACACTGCCATTGTGCTGTGCAGGGGTAGGAGGACTGGATTCTGGGTGGATTGACTGTTCTCTTTGGAGAAAATGCAACGTGTGAAATAACACACACTGATGACAGTTGGTTCTGTAATGGTGGGAGGAAACATATCAAGATTTAGGACAAGGTGTGACTCCATAGAGACTTAAAACCTGTAACTTGTGGAAGTAGTTTTGAAGCTGATTTCCAATTAATTCATACCTTTCAGCTTCATCTCTTTTTTTGAAAGCTTTTCTCTTTCTATTTCATAGTATTAGTGACTTAATCCAATGGAAATATGTGTATATTTAGAAATAACTTCAGGTATGTGAGACATAGGAGAATTGTGGGAATAATAACAGACAGTACAGTACAGAAATTGTTTGGAACACGGAAAAGAGCCAAAGTCTTCACCAGAAGTAGATGTATGTGGAGCTACTTTTGCATCACTTTTTTCAGAGTTGGGCATAAGACAATTCTGTGTTTCTGTCTTTGGTAGTGAAGGTAAAGGACACAGGGCATAAAATGAAGTCTTTTACTTTAAATAATTAAATTATTTGCTACTGAAAAAATAGTGCTTTTAACACAGTAGGATATATCAGAACTAGAAGGGGGATTTCAGTAACTGAGAGATTAGGAAAAGTTGGGCTTGTGTGGTACTTTAGTCTGGATCCCTCTTGAGACTGAGGATATAATAAGAACATTCAAGAGAAAGGTGAGAGAGAAGATGGTCAAAGTTGGAACCTTTCTGAGGTGGGATATGGGGAGTCCAAGAGAACTATTGACTGCAAATAGAATTGGAGCAGGGAATTGAAGAGCAGCTTTAGGATTAGGACTCGGAAAGCAGTGTGCTGAAAGCCATTAGGCAGAACAGTATCTGAGCCATACTGGGGCAGGGAGGCTGAGGCCTCTCTGTGTGTGTGTGTGTCTGCTCAGAAGGAAGGAGTTACTGACCACGTGGGGAGGGGCAGTAATGCCAAGCAAAAATAAACTATGAAGCCTGGCAATGGTAAAAGTACTGCTCCCAGCTCTTATCTATCATGAGCATCATGGGTTTTGGAGCCTTTTCCTTTGGTTGTTCCCTTTTTATAAGCTTTGTAAGAAGCTTCTGTCAGCCCAGGACTTAGGGCTGACTGGAATCCAGCTTCTTCGAAAGGAGTCTGCTCCCTTGGTTTGTGCTGCCTGCAGAGAGCAGGGGAAGTGCAGCCCATGAGGTGGGCAAGCAGCCAGAAACCAACTGCGACTTACAGCAGAGCCCACTTCTACCTTTTTCCTCTGTTTCCCACATTGTCAGCTCCAAGCTTTGAAAGCTAACAAGAATGGCCTCAAAACACAATTTCATAGAAGAACAAAACACCTTTTGATTCAGTTTACTTTCCATCTACTTTCAGAGACTGTAAATTGCATTAATTGCACATTTTCAGTCCTTTTGCCATAATCATGAAGACAGAACATTCTTGAAGAAGTAGAAGCTGAGATTTTCACACAGCTTTTATGATTTTGGTACTTTGGTCTTCTAAATATCTGCTCTTGTGAGACTGTCACTAAAACAACAACAAAAAAAAAAAAACCTGGCAGCACACCTTTCTGCTCTCCTGGTGCACTTGTGATTGGGCAAAGCATACAATTTTCAACCCAGACCAGTTGCACTATTTGCCCTTCTCTTGCTGCTGCTGCCAAGATCAAATTTGGAGTCTGGAGATGGAAGGCTGGGGTCCTTTATTCCATCAAGAAGAAGTGGCTGGTGAACATCTGTTGATTCTGTGAACAAAAAAAAAAATGCTGAAAGAAGTAACAGTGATCTTTATCTTTGTTCTCTGTCTTTTCCTTTTTCTTTTTAATCTTTTAAGGCAGTGCATTATAAAACTTGCAACATTGTGGAAAAAAATTGTGGAGTGGCAGAGAGATGAGATAATTTGGGCAGAATAACACTACAATGGTGGAAGGAGAAGCTAGAATTTTAGGCAGAAGGGAGTTAGATAAAATATTGAATATTAAAAATATGTTTAAACAATGGTTCAAGTTGCAGAGTCAAGCACATATTTTAGGAGGTACCAATATTATGATTCATTTTAAACTTGATTATTTCTTTTCAGGCACATGTATTACAATACAGTTTGTAGTTGTACATGAATGGTTTTTAACAAGAATTCTTCAGAGAATCGATCTCATGCAGAAAACATGAACTTGAAGTCATTGCAGAGTTTTGCCTTTACACTTCCAGATCTAGATCTATGTGAGCATCTACAGTTATCTTCCTCTGAAGTCAGTGATTGACCAAGTGGAGACAGCATTCCTTTGTGTTATAAAAATAAATTACTTAATAATAGCAAAGTAATCTTTTAGCATTATATCAGTGACCGGTCTAGCCTAGAGTGGAATTAGTGATCTGGCTTGCAGAGCACCATTTTAATGTTGTTAGTAGGTCAAGACTAAGACAAGACACTGGGAAATGAGGGAAAAGTTAAATACATACTGGTTGTCCATCCTGTCTCCTCATGCGTTTAGTAGGGAAATGGTCTCAAGAAGAATTTTATGATGGAACATTTTTAAACCATCTCGATCTGGTGATGCACTGGAACAGGCTGCCCAGGGAGCTGGTGGAGTCACCATCCCTGGAGGTGTTAAAAAAATGTGTAGACATGGTACATTGGGACATGGTTTAGTGGTCATGGTAATGTTTGGTCGGTAGCTGGACTTGGTGATCTTAGAGGTCTTTCACAGCCTTAATGATTCAATGATTCTACCTCAGTTCTACAGAGCAGGAAGGGACCTTTGGAAATCATCTAGTTCACCTCCTTTTCCAAGGCAGACACCTACAACTATCATTTCTGACAGAAGTTTGCATAAACTGCTCTTAAATGTTCCAGTAATAGAAACTCCAGATCTTCCCTTAACCAGTCTCTTCCAGCCTTTTCTTTTTACTGTTGGAAGCACTTTCCTCACATTCTCCTCATTCTGGGTTTGTCCCATTGCTACTTGTACTATCTTCCAAGGAAAATGAAGGGATACATTGGTACAAAAGACTATGGGCTTATTTCCCCAGCATGCTTTACTTCATAACAGAAATCCCAAATTTGTCCATACTTTCTTTGTAGATGATGTTTTCTTGAGCTCTGATTCTTCTTACTGTTTCAAGTTCTCTCCAGATGGTCTGCATCTTTCTTGGAGCACAGAAGGCATATTGCACAAATGGGGCCAAAGAAAGGTTTCACAGGCAGCCTAATCCTGCCTTTTTCTTGGGTTGAACAATTGACATTGTGACCGTAACACATTTAATGCTGTCGTGTAGAACTTGCACCTTGTGGGATTTGACACCCACAATCAATGGCATTCATGGTTGGGCCTCTCAAGTTGCACAGATCTTTGCTCCTTTGAATTAATCTGATACACAAGATGGTCCAGCC